TGCGCTCAGTTTTGGGCCCCTCATTACAGGAAGGATATAGCCAGGTTAGAGTCGGTGCAGCGCAGGGCCACAAGGTTGGTGGCCGGTTTGCAGGGGAAGCCGTATGAGGCGAGACTGAGGGAACTGGGTCTCTTCAGCCTGGAGAAGAGGAGACTCAGAGGGGATCTGTTGGCAACATGCAGGTATGTGGGGGGGGGCACGCAGAGGTGGGTCATGACCTTTTTTCCCCTGCAGTGGAGGGCAAGCTGCATTCCAGTGGAGCCAAGCTCAGGGGACCAAGATTTAGGGTGAATGCCAGGAAGCCCTTCCTGACGGTTAGGACCCTGAGGGTGTGGAATGGGCTTCCATGAGAGGTCGCTGAGGCCCCATCGGTGCGGGTGTTCAAGGATAGGCTGGACATGCACATGGAAGGCATGTCATGAGTGCAGCCAGCTGGAGCCGGGGGTCAGACTAGATGGCCTGGGAGACCCCTTCTGACTCTCTCTGTCTCTGTTTCTATCTCTTCTTGATCACCCCAAAGTGCAAAACACAGAATAATGGGCTTAAATTGCAGCAGGCCAGGTTCTGTCTAGAACTTCCTGACCATGACAGCAGTATAGCAATGAGACCAAAGACCTAGGGAGGTGGTGGGCTCTCCCACCCCGGAGGTATTCAAGAGGCAGCTAGACAGCTGCCTGACAGGGATGGTTTAACTGGGAGTCCTGCACTGAGCGGGGGGTGGGACCCTCTGGCCCCCTCCTGCTCTCCTATTCCAGGATCCCATATTCAGGCAGATGCCAAGGGCTCACAGCCCAGCAGATCAGCCCCCCCCCCCAACTTGTTCCCCCCGCGCTCCCTTGCAACCTGCTTGCTTTCCTGCCACCTCCCGCTCTGGCCCAGATCACAGGGACAGGGAGAAGGAGACGCTTCCTCACGGACTCGGCCTGGCAAGCAAGGATACGGCAGGCAGGCTGAGGAAGAGGAGATCAGGCAGCCTCCGAGGACAGTGGGAAGGAGGGCGGGACATGGAGGGCGCCTTGCCCAAGAGCGTCCGGAAGGGGCCCGGCCCACCCTCCAGCTGCACAGCGCAACCGGTGCTCCCCCTCTCCAGCCCCAGCCGCCACTGCTGCCCCCCCCCCCGGCAAGCTCAAAGCGGAACAGGCCGCCGCAGGGTGGCAGGCAAGCCAGCCCCCCGGGAGGCCCAGTCCAGCCCCCCGGGGTCGGCCGAGGGTGGCCCGGGCGCCTTTTCCCCAACCGCCGACACATCTGAGCGTTCTGCTTTTGCACAGTCGTGGAGGGACGGCGCCATCACTGGCAAGAAGGAAAGCAGGCCGGGGGCAGAGCAGGCCGTTGGACACAGGGCTGCCTCAGCCCCCGGCGACTGTTCTAGGATTGAACAACGGAAGCAACGCACCCTCTCCGCACGTGTGGTTTTGCGCCGGAACATACTTCTGTTACGGCCGTGTGTCAATGAACCCTTGACATTCTTCTGGTTATTTGTGAGCGGAGAAATGCGCTGAACATCTTCAGTGGGGGGAGGAGATCTCAGTGGCTTCTGACTCGTGGGGTTGGCCTGTGGCAGCGTTTGTAGTGCTGCTTGTTTGCCCCTCTCCCCCCCCCCACTGAAAGATTTGCATTTTGCACTGCTGCCGCAAACGGCAAAGCATCCATTCCCTTGGCACCCAGATTCTGCATCCGCCGTGATGCAGGGCTGAGCCTGGCTCTGGGGGGGGGGGGGGGGCTGATGCCCTGCACAATTTTCGTCTTCCATTGTTCTGCCTTATTCTCAGGGAGCTTTAAAATTTATTTTTGTGCTGGCATTGAACTTTCCTAATGGCTGCAAGTTAGTCAAGGAAATTGTACGTGTCTCATCTTTCTATTATGCATCTCAGGTAATTTTCCTCACAGGACTTTTTCAAATTAGGGAACACTGTATTTTCCGATCTAAAAAAAAAAACCCTGTGGGCTTTAAGTGAAGTGTGAGTAGCTGGGTAGACTGCAGGCCGCTGGAAAGATGATTATACAGTGAAAAACAGAAGGTTTGTATGCATTTCTCAGGAGGGATGTGTGAAAAATCTGATATGGGGTAAAAATGTGATGGGTTTTCACAATTCATCCCCCAGGATCCTGGCTGGGTGCAAGCTGAATCAGCTCACAGCCTTCTGTCTCTAAGTCACAATTTGCATATTTAAAAACAAAATCAGAAAAAATAACCGCCAAAGAAATCTGCAAAAAATTGGCCCATGTGCCCATCAGCACCTGAAAAAGCACGCTGCACTTTCCACCAGTCGCGTGAAATCTTTTCAGCTGCCGATTTGCCCCAAGCCTGCAAAATGCTGAGTTTTGTGAAAGATTGCACAAATTTCATTAGCTTTAAAAAATGTGGAAACCATTATTTTCCATCCAATTAAATGAAAACAGTTGGCAAAAATACGCGGAACATTTTTGCCAGAACGTTAATTTGAACCAGCACCCTCAGGAGCACCATTCAGTGAATGGGGCGGCATAGAAGCTTTCTAAATAAATAAATTATAAAAAGGTGCATATTTCAGGTTCCCTGGTGTCCTCTTGTCGTTCAGGGGTTCCTGGGGGACTGTGACCCAAAGACTGTGCCGAGCTGCACCAGTTGTGGGGCTGTCCACTTGGCCACTCACCGTCTGTGGGTGAATCACAACCTCCTCTGGCATTGCTAATTGCCCTGGGAAGGAAGTTCCCAGGCGGACCCTTGGGAAATTTCCTATGAATGCCAAGAACAGTGACAGGAATGTTCATCCGGATCACAGCAGTGGAGAAGGAGCTGGATTCTCTCTCCCCACCTGCTGCCCTTTCAGTCCTAAATCCCATTCCTTGTGGTGCCGTTTCTAGACTCTAGAACAGGGGTCCTCAGACTTTTTCAACAGGGGGCCAGTTGAGAGGTGCCAGCGGTGGGCACGGGCTGCCAAGGCGGTGCTGGTGGGGGGGGGCACAGGCCAGTGTGGGGACAGGGTGCGTGCACACGCGAGGTGAGGCGGGGACGGGGGGTGCACAGGGCGAGGCGCTGGCATGCTTGCGAGGAGATTGTTTTCTCTGATCAGTCCAAAATGACCTCCTCGCGAGCAAGCCGCGCATGCACCCCGCAAGCGCAAAACCTGTGGGGTGGGCCGATTAAATGGGCATGGTGGGCCAGATCCGGCCCGTGGGCCTTAGTTTGAGGACCCACGCTCTAGAAGGTTGAAAGCACTGGCTAGATGCAACTGAAATCTAACCTCAGGCAGGGAAGAGCATCCAGGTTGGAGAGGAAGGGCTCAGGCAGGTTCACCAGGCCACTACGACTTCCTAGAGGCAACCCAGAATCCACAAATTAGACGTTCCCGGGTTTTCCTAATTAGACAGCCCTGCCACTTTATGGCAGTGACAAAATAATTCAGTGGTGAACCACTAGAAGATTTACGTTTGACATTTTTATTCCACTATTGCAGTTTGCAGCCAAAATTCAGGGACACGAGGGAGAGGTGCAGCCCCAGGTGGGTCAAAATGGGCTACGTTTTCCAGTAACAAATCAATTTCTGCCTTGGGAAAGCATCAGATCATGCCCAAGTGCATTTTATACTAAGTGACATTTCCACAAAGTCTTCAAGAGCGGCTCCACCTAACATGCATTGCAGTAGTCCACCGCAGAGTTGACCAGCCATGGCAAAATTATATCTGTCCAGGACCAATAGAGAAGCATAGCAATTTTGGTTTTGCGCGCAACGGGCTAGCCACTTTCTCAGCTCTGAATGCAGCAAGAGCACGTCCGTCAAAGACGTCCCTATGTTGCCAAATGTGCCCAGGTTCTATTTCCTAAATTTACACACTTTTTTTTTCTAATTTCTGCAAACGTCCCCCCTAGACAGAATCAGCCTCACTTCAGTCTGTGGAGGAAATTTAGAAACTTCCGCAACTCAAACCGGGGGCCAGTTGTGTGAATTTCACATTTATTCATTGCTTGAACAGTACCTTTCCCTATTCGCACAGAGTGAGCAGTGCCTGCGAACGCACACAGAATTTGGGCACGGGGGAGCTGCATGCTTATGTTCAAGGCATCTCGGTGGTCTTGAGGTTGCTTGTTTGCCTACCCCTCAAACGTGGCCCACCGCCTCGGCAAAGGTCGGGCATCCCATAGATTCCTCGGATTCCCAGTGGCCATGATAGGTCCAATCCTTTGCAAGAGAGGTGGGGGATCCCTGGGCCAAAAACACCTCCAGGTACCTCATTCCGGACCTCCAAACCAGCGGTGGGCCGTAAGTAGATCTCTCATTGTTTTGGACTTCAACCCCCAGCATCCCTGCAAGCGCGTTCCTAGAAGCAGTGGGGAGAAAAGGAAGATTTTGAGTGGAGACCCAGCAAGGAAAAGGGGGCTGGTAGCAGGGCACGGAAGCAAAAGGCCAGGGAAGGGCAGAGCGGGGCTTTCCTTCCTCCGACTGTTTTGCTGTCCAAACCCCCCGTTCTCCATGCAGCTTGAAAGGGTATCAGTAAACCCACAACGGGGTCTGTGTGCTCCACGCATGCAGTTTTATGCTGAGCCATGCACACACTGGGCCACGTGCGGAGTGGGGAACTGAGACACACCTGAGCTCCTAATCTGCCCCACTGGGATTCTGTAGGGGGGCATGTGCCCCCCTCCTGGCCTCCCTCCTCTCTCTTTGGGGTTTCCTGAGCCTCGGGCCCTCCTTTCCTCGGTCTCTCAGGTTGAATCGCTTCTCCTAAGTCTTTCCTACTGGTAGTAAGAGCTTTAAACAAAAATACGTTGGGTTTTTTTGTACCTTTAATGCCCTGCACACAAAACTTTGCTCCCAGCCACTGTTGGAACGCAGCTCCCAGGTGCGCCTCCAAAACTGGATTTCCTCTTCGACTCGCCCCCAAACGATGCCTTGCGAAAACGGAGAGGAAGGATCTATTCCAATTAACGGGAAGTACTTTTAAAAGGGCCACTTGCGTAGCCCAGCAAATTCAGAACTGCCCTCTATTTTTGTCCGGTCGTGGTGGAATGAAGTTTTCGCACAGAACTAAAAGCTGCCGAGGTGCTCAGCCTGCTCCGGGGTGCATCACAGTGGGCTGTAAGCACACTCACAGGGCTCTTGTGTACAAGACACACCGCACTTAGAAAGCTAGCTTGTCAGGGCAAAGGGTTCCAGCCAGCCTGGACTTGCCCTGCCATGCCAGCTTTCTGCATACAGGAGTTTTTTGCATGTATTTTTTGTGCAGAAGAAGCCACGACATTCCCCGTTCTCTCAGCAAATCCCTTTTCGTTTGTCCTAATGAACCTGATTTTACTCCTAACAGGGGCAAGCAGGGCCGGCTGGTGAAAGAGGCGTTAAGGGGCTTCCTGTAAGTGCTGTGTTTGCTTTTGTGTGCCTGCTCATGTTTCGGGAGTTGGGGCGGGGGTGGGGGGGAGAGAGGGAGAGAGAGACCTTGTTGGTGGCCGGGAGAGGGGTTGATCAGAGCAGCGCGTGTGACACGGTAGCCAACGTCTGAGCAGGGGAGACGAATGGCAATGAAGGACATTGGGCTGCGGACAAGAAGGAAATGGAAGTTGCGGAAGTGGAGAACAGGGGGAACAAAGGGGGGCCTTGGAGAGAGAGCCCCCCTGAACTATGTTATGGACCAAGTGCCCAGCCAGGGGACTGTAACCCACACTGTCTGCATCACATTTTGGGGGGGCTCCCGCTGCAGCTGATATGCACCCATCTCTACGACTTCTTAGCTTATGGGGGTGAAGCTGTGGGGCTCAGGGGCCCTAGCTTGTGGCCCCTCACAACTGGCCTTGTTCCTGGGAGCTGGGGCATGGAGACTGAGTGCCTTCCAGCAGGAATACTTCCAGACAGCAGTGTTAAGAACATCTGCTCCTCCCCCTGGGACTGGGCTGTAGGTCCCCTCTTGTCTTCCATGCTTTCTATAGGAAGCTGAAGGAGGGGGGCTTCATAGGTGTGGGGCAGACAGCCCCCAGCCCTCTCTCCCTCCCTGATCCATCAGGGCCAGGAAGGCGGCTGAAATGCTGGGGCAGATGTGAAAGCAAGTAATCTGGGTGCTGTTGGTGGGCATTTCCCAGGTCTTAGAAGTGCTCTGCATTGCTCAAGGTGAGTCACACCTCGGCCCCGAAGAAACAGGTGCGTGGATTCAGGTATTTCTGGACCCATCCTCTCATCGGAGGCCCAAGTGGCCACAAGGCCTAGAATTCCCCTTTTAGCTCTGCTGGTTTGCTAGCCACGGTCCTTCTCGGATAACTCAGCCATCGTGATTCGTGCCTTCCTGCGCTCGCAGCTGGACTACTGCAATGTGATCTCGCCTGGGGCAGCCCTTCAAGACAGCTTGCAGGGACAGACTGCTAGGACAGCGTGCCCCAGTTATTGGTCAAGCAAATGTGCTGAAACTGGAGTCTCTGCTCCGTGATCTGCACCAAGTACCTGCCTCTGAACCTACTTTAAGACAGGCTGGCTGCCAGGCCCCCAGTGGCTTGGGGCACGGATATGGATCACTTTGCAGGGTACTGAGAACTCAAGACTGTGTATTTGGTAAAGAAGGTCTGTCCTTCGATCTAAACTTGAATCTGCACCTCTGTTATGTTGCCCTTTGCTCACCCTTTTCAAAGCCAAGAAGCTCCAGCTAGGGGTGCCTGGCACGAAGATGACAATTTGCACACTTTTAACTGCAAATCTGCACAAATGAGCACTCAAGAAGCCAAGTGGCTCTCCTGGGATTTGCCCAGATGGGCGGATTTCAGAACCTATTTGTGCAATTTCAGCAGTGGTTGTAAAAAAAAAGTGCAAATCACAATTTGTCTTAGAGAGGCAAGTCAGCAAAACAGAAAACCCATTGAGCTGGAACGAGTAGTTCTTCCTCGGCGAGCCAGAAGCTTTTGGCCTGGGGAACAGTGTTCTCCAAACTTTTGCGCACCGCTTGTGTTAACCTGCGGCACGACAACTTCCCAGTATGTGTGTGAATGTGTGGCAGATTTTGTAGCTGCTTCCTGGGGTAAGTAGGCAGTACATGCAAGAAATTTAATTAAGTCTTCTCTAAGGACTACTTCGTGGAGACGCTAGAGGCAATGCAGAGTGTTAATAGGACTTCTTAGCTCTGACACTGGAAGGTAAATACATTTATATCTTTTGCGGAAGGGTTTATGTATCCATACAGAGCCCTGCTGACTGAGAGAGCGCGCGAAAGTGGGTGCAAGGGTTTCTCGGAGGAATTCGGCGGTTGTCCCTGTCCTTCTTTCCTGCATGGGAAAAGTAATGCAGGGACAGCAATTTTAAACTCAAATTCTGTCTGCCTCATTTTTTAGGGTGAACCCGGTAAGAAAGGTGAAGAAGGAGAGAAAGGCACAGATGTAAGAATACTTAATTATGTATTTCTTGATTACTTTTTCTTCCCACAAGTATTCCAAGGCAGCTAAAAGGATTCTCCTCCTCTCCATAGGATCCTCACAATGACCCTGTGAGGTAGCTTACGCTGACAAGCACTGACTGACCCTAACTTACACATTGAATTTCATGGCTGAGCAGGGACTAGCACCCAACCCTCTTGAGTCCCAGCCCAGCTCTGACCACTACACCGCACTGCCTTTCCAGCGACAAGCTCTGCTCTTCTTTGCTGGCCCTGCAGTCTCTCCTTGCCCAGCCACCCTTCCTCATGGCATCTTCATGAAAGGTATCCCAGAAATGCCTCCTCCATTTCGTGAGCCCATTTCTCAGGGCTCTGGAAAAGGGGGCAAAGTTTTCAGCAACATTCCCATGGGACAAAGATAAGTCCTCAGTGCTTCCCACTGCTTGGAGGAGGCGTCCCCCAAGAAGCATCCGAGCAGCCAGTGTGAGCGCTCCTTCTGGGACAAGCTGCTCTGTGGCCCCTTGCGGCCAAAGGGGTGGCCAGCCCGACCCTCACAGCCCCTGCCGGTGCCTCAGGCATGAGCAGCAGCCTGAAGATCAGTGGGCTGGAAGAAGTCGCATTCTGCACCACCCCCCGAAGGCAGGGGGCCCCGTTTGTGGAAAGCCAAGTGATGCAGCCTCATTTCTGGGCCACTGAGTTTCTCTTCTCCACACCACTAAACCTGCCAGGGTTCCCACTGGAGCTTTCTCCCCTCTGCCCCACACACACTTTTCAAAATTAGGATTTTGAATACAATTCAAACAAATTTTGAATGCATTCATTTTCTTCCTGTCAGCTTTCTTCCCGGCCAGAGCTCACACACATACATTGGAATTGGGAATCCAGGAGTGTGGATAAACGGGATAGGCTTGGTCTCCAGTGAAGTGGGATTTTTCCTGGTTCCTTTCCCTCCTCCGTCTCCGTCTTCCTCAGATTCTTGGCTAGAGCCCCTGCCCCATTCCAAAGTCAAAGAGCCCAGATACAAACGAGCCGGAGCTGCCCCCGTGTCCACTCACCCCTTCACAGTTCTCTCTGTTCCAGGGTGAAGGCGTCCAGCAGCTTCGAGAGGCCCTGAAGATTTTAGCCGAGAGAGTCTTAATTTTAGAGCACATGATAGGAATTCATGGTGAGTCCTGCTTGCACCTCCGTCCGAGCTTGCCCTGGTGGGAACGGAGAGGTGAGCTCGCTGGAGGCAACTCCTTGGACTGTCTCAGATGCATTTATGGCCTTTTGGAACAAAGGTGGCATGCAAAGAACACGAGTGCTTCCGTCTTTGAAATATGAAGATTTCATATTTTATGGAATATGTTATACACCCCCGAAACACACGGGCATTTAAAACCCTAAGAAACAAATAAGTTTTTGAGGGCCGTTAAAGACAAGCAGGCAGCCACTTGTTATCCTCTGAGGAAGGAGCTCCAAAGATACGGGGCCGCACCTGAAGGGAGCCCTGTAACCCCAAAGATACAGGGCTGATACCCCAAGCCAGGGTGGGGCAACAGATGGGGTATCTGTCTCCGCACCTTGGTCATCTCTCCACCCCACAGATCCCAGCAAATTTTTACTGCAACCTGCCAAGGAGGCTTCAAAGGCTAAAACTTAACTTGTTTTAAGACCAAAGGAAACCTACACAGCAGTTTGCAGCCAAAATGTGTTCAGGGACAGCGGTGGTGCAAGAAGTACGCTACTCCAGGTTCCCCCCTCCATTTGTGTATTTACTTTTCAGTTTCTCACTTGTGCCCAATCCCAAATACATAAAAAGCTTTCACGTCCATCACTTGGAGTGTTTTAAATCCACTACCTGGTATGAACCAGAAATCCATCCATTCATACAATGATGCATCTGTCTGTCCTTTACACTTCTGTGGATGCCTTTCTCCTTCCTTCTCCAGCCGTCGCATCATGGCTCTCCACCAACCGCCCTACATTCTGTCATGGGAGTGTCTCCCTTAGGATGTGTTTTTCCCTCAATATTTTTGAGGGTTACCCCAAGTTTCCTGACACTTTCCACTTGCATGTGCATGGTGTGATTTGCCTTGGGTCCCTCTGCACACAGAAAAATGTGACTTGGGCTTAGAACACGTGATATTAAAGAAGAATAGGTCTTCTACCCCTCAGATTATGGCTTCAGGCAGAGAAATTGAGTTCCTTTCAGCATGAGAAGATAAAGAAAGAGGGGAAATGAAGTTCATGGAATTAAATGGAGATTCACCTGGGCAGGCACCCACCTCCCCGTTGCAGATTCCCACCTTATTCTGGGATGTATGGGCAGTATAGAAATATAATTAATAAGAAGACTAATTAGTTCAAATCTCTGTCTGTACATCTAAATTAGAAAGTACAAATTCCATACAAAGTGACTCCCTCTGTTATCCTGCTTTGTGGTGCATTAAGTGGTTGGATTTGGGGGAGCAAAGTGCCTGTTAGTGTAATGCAAGGATGCAGATTGGTTTGATGGTGGGGAGTTTGCCCCCAGGAGACCCTTTGGGAGGTGGAAGTCTCACTGAATCCTGCAACAGTTGCAGATAAGTTAGGGAGGATTTCCATGAATCTGAGCTGTGGATTCACCAAGGGATCAGCTTTTCCTGAGTCCTGCTGATTTCATGGTCTTGCAAACCAGCTGTTCTGGAGGGCATAAATGATAGCACTGTTAGCACAGGAATGGACATTCCCTGTATGAACTTGTCCCTACGCACCTCGTGCATTCTGTGCCTTCGAGTCGTCTCTGGCTTATGGAGGCCCTGCGAGTGCGCGCCTTGCAGAACGGCCCATCCACGACAGCCCGTCCTGCTCTTCCGAGTTCACGGCTGCAGCTCCCTTTACGGATCCATAGTTTTGTCTTCTGCCTTTGACTTTCCCCAAATGATGCTTTTCTCCCGTGAGTCTCACCATCTTGTGACGTGTCCGAAGAATGATGCATCCTGAGTAACGGGAACTGACGTTCTGTGCATTGACGCAAGCAGAATGAGATTCCGATGGGGAAATTATCGGATTCCATCAGGGGCTACAGGAGAGAATGAAGGCTCTCTGAGGAGCCGTGAAACAGAGCGGGCGCGGAGAATGCCGGCCAGTGGGTCCCACGGCTTCGCTGCTCCACTCACCCGTGCGGTCCTGCTCTGCGCCCCTTCCCGCCCCAGCTGCATCTCCGCTAAACAACATCCCCGTCCCCGGTTTTCCTTTGTTTTCAGATTCTCTCTCTTCCATTGAACCAGGCTCAGGACAAGATGTGATCCTGGGCGCCCCTCTCCGAGCGAATGCGAAAATCAAGCGGCACCATTCCAACCAGATCCTGTCTTCTCTCCTGAGCGACAGCGAAACCCAAGGGAAAAGCAGGAGAAGGAAGTAGCGTTCCAGAAAGGTCTCCAATCCGCCTCTCCCTCGGCAGAACAGGGAGGGTTTGCTGGGGCGGGGGGAGGGGGGCCCTTTCTTCTGTACCCAGCAGGCCACTGGGATCCTGTTTTGGTCTACCAACTGGCGTGCTCCAGGTGCGAATGCCCCCCACAGAAAATCCAGGGAAATTAGGGTCTGGGCCGAGGGAAAGGTGAAAGCCTTCCCTTCCGTGCAGGAGGGAAGGGCGTGACGGGTGGGCCCATTTCAGTCTGCAGAGCAGATCCTTTCCTTGGGTGCATCTATTACCAGGAACAGGGGAGCTCAGGGAACCTGCTTGGGGGTCGTCACCTGTCAGGCTCCCTGGGCTCCCACCCCCTTTGCGGCAGCCCTGAGTCCGACTTCGGGTGGGTGCACACCTGTGCATGCAGTGGTCACCAGGCATCGTGGCCCCATGCGCTGTGCGCTTCCCCCCTCCACACAGCCTGTCATGGGGAAGAAGGTCGCCGGCTGTGCCACCGTCGTTGCATGGCTGGGACCCCCCCCCCCGCCCCCAGCTGATCTCGCTTTCTAAGGCTGGACGGAGGGCAAGCAGCAGGCTGCAAATGCCAGAGGGACGGGTCCTGCCGAGCTTCATCTCGGCCCTAACAGGGAATGCCCCAAATGTGGCAGGTGGCAGGAAGGAAAGGTGCATGCATCCTTGCTTCCTCACCCCTCGCTGCCCAGGGCCGCTCGCAAGGCAGTGTCGGAAAGGGGCGATGGCACCATCTCGGGCTCCACCGGGGCGGGGCGGGGCGGGGGAGCCCTTGAGCAGCACCAGCTGCATGCTCCCCCCCCAGGGAACCTCCCCACTTGCCCCCATGGCCACCCGCTCCTCTCCCTCCTTGCCCTCTTCCTCCTGGTGGCTTCCTGGCAGGCAGAGGGCTGGGAGCAAGGAGACCGCAGCACCCCCGTCTCACCCTCACCCCTGCCCAGGCAGAGGGGAAGGCGGGCCAGCCAGTTGCCCAGGGAAGGGGGGGGGGGCTCTGGTCCCACTGCACGGGCCCCGTCACGCCTCCCATTGCCCCCAGCCCTGGCCAGCACACAGCACGCTTGGAGACTTGGCAGCAAAGTCTCGGGGGGGGGGGGTGCTCAGTGAAGCTGCTTGCAAGAAGCAGCAAACAGCCAGCAGGGGTTGCCCTCTTCTTCCCTACGGGCCACGTGCAGAGGGAAATGGACGAAGGGCAGGGCGATGTACATGCATCCCTTCATTGCCTCTCGGACGAAGCTGCTCCCTGGCAAGGCATCCCATCTGAGGGCCCGGGAGCCCTCCAGGGTGCCGGGGCGGATCCGTGCTTAGAGAAAGGAGGCCCACGCAATCCACTCCACCGCTTGCGATGATAACAAGCCCCCTAAAGGGTTCAAGTGTTTTAAGAATCCGACCTGGCCCCTAAAAATGCCGGGGGTTTGTTTTGGGTTGCTCATGTCCTTCCTTAAAGGAAACTCACGGTGTACAACCCACATCAGCCTTCACCGATGGCCGTGCTGGCTAAGGCTGATGGGATCTGTAGGCCAACGCAACGGGAGGGCCAGCCACTGTTTTCTCCCACGCCTACATAATATACAGAGAAAGTTGGGAAAGAAAAAGAGAAAAGGAAGGCCGGGAGTGGAGAGCTTAGCCCGGGAGAAAGCCCTTGCCAGAAGCCTGGACAGAACCCCTGTTAGGAAAGAAGACGCGCAGCAACATTTTGCTGCAGGTGCTGCTGGTAAACTGTATGATTTTCCCAGCTACAGTTGGAGTGCTCTAACAGGAAACTTTCATTGGTAGGTCCAGCGATGAAGGCGGAAGAGGGTTAGGCACCGTTAACCCTGTCGGAGCTTTCTGCCAGCCGGGAGGACGAGATGTGCACACCGGAGTGCTTGTACTCGCCGTGACCTTTCAGTATATACCGTATACGAAGTACTTTCCCTGCTTTTGTCCCCGTGCCGATGCCCACCTCAGGCAGTCGCTTCCATGGCTGGAGACCCAGAGGCTGCCTGTGAGAAAGACCCCAGTTTGTCTGCTCCATGCTGGTTCTACATCCTAGAATATCCGGAAGGACAGCCTTTCCCATGGGACACCTCCTGTATTGCAAAGCATTCTGGGGCATGTTGAAGACACCCTGCTCTGGCCATGTGTCCCCTGTGGAAGCCGTTCACTGTTCTAGAATATTCTAGGGCATGTTTCAGGCATACGCGGGAGCCCCCAATGCACCGAGGATGCGTCCAGCCACAGAGCGCCGTGAGAAGGCGCAAAAGGATGCGCAAGCTGCCTGTCACATTGTGGTAGGTCCTTAAAGCACCTCTGCCCGGCATTTGGGCCACACCGAGTCCCCGGTGAATGCAGCTCGGATTTGCACAGGGCAGTGGATTTCTAGTCTAGGCACACTGCTGGAATCTCCCACAGGGGTCCAGGGGAGGGGCCCCTCCTGATTTTTATTCCATGTCTTAATATTTTATACTTTTAAAAAATACTTAGTCAGAGGCTGCTACGCTGCAAGGCAGGGTGCTGGTCCCACAGCACCATCCTTGGGCTCAAAAGGGGGATTGGGTGCTTTGGAGCTCAGGCCCCACCCCTGTCTTGTGCTACGATTTTGGGTCGAGTGCCTTTTGTTTTGGACTCGCCAGCTTTGCCTTCTGGGAAATGTGTTCTGGAGCCACCAAATCAGCCATTTTGTGAAAGTGCCTACAACATACAACATTCCAAATATGGCCACCAACCCCAAAAGATAGGTGACCCCTGGATTAGCGTTGTCAACAACTGCCTTTTGTCAGTATTTTGCCTACCTGATGTCAAAAAAGCCAGTAAAGGCCTGATTCTGCCAGTTTATCAACCACCCTGAGGAAAGACTACCAGGTTAATGGATGAATAATGGATTCAGCTGAATTCCACTTACAACTTACAAAAACTTGAAGAACAGGGAAGGAAGCACTGTTTTAATTTGCCAGACTAGATTTAATTTGCCAGACTGTTTGAATTTGCCAGGCTAAATTCAGCAGAATGGAGAAAAGCTAACTTGCCACTCTTTTTTTCATCTTTTCCTTTCTGTATTTCTGAAACATACCAGCAGCAAAATAGCACTTGACTGAATAAGCAAGTATGCCTTTCTCTCTCGGCCTTACTGGCTAAAATAATCTCCCGCACAGTGTCCCACCAAAGCCACTTTTGAACCAATGTGCAAATTTGAGTCAGAGCACAATGGGAATCAAAACCTTTATGAGGTTGGAAGTGTTGAACTTCTTTTTGTGGTGCTATTTTGTGGAGCAGGTCAAATTAGACTTCCGCACCCTCCTAATCGATGGACAACAACTCCCAACATTCCTGACCAGCGGCCATGTTGGCTGAGGCTGCTGGAACTGAAGTCCACCAAATCTCAAAGCCTCCAGCTTGGGGAAGACCAGATTAAACCACTGAAACTTTGTTTAGTCTCCTGGCCTTAAATGCGTCCATACACGCTCCTGGGCAGAGTATTTAGGGTTTCTGATGGACAGTGGTCTTCTCAGTACCCTACGAAAATGAAGTCTTTTGACAGGATGTTTCTAACTTCTCCCCACTTTCTGCTTCAAAAGTGAGGTTGCAGTACAGGTTGCAGTGCAGAGGGGCCATGCAGGGCTGAGGTGGCGGGCAGAGGTGGTGCCCTGAAGCCCCCTCCAGCCCACCCCTTTCCCCCTGGTAATTTTCCGCAGCCGTTCTACCCCTCGCTTTGGGTGCCTGAGTCTGACACGCCATGGGGAAGGTGGTTGAAGCGGACATTAAACTGAAAAGGAAGGCTGCTTTCTGGCGTGACAAATGCCCCTGTGAGGTACCAGAGCCCGCAGTGTTTCCCTGTGAGATACCTGACAATCAGGATCCCACCCACCCTCCTCGGCCCTCCAGCAGCTGGCGCATGTCGCATGAGCACCTGTGCTGGAATTCAGTCCCCAGGTGCACCGCTTCCTGCCCGGGTCGCCTGCCTCTTCCTCACTTAGAGGCTGAATGGGTGAAGCCGCTCCTACGTTGCCACTCTTTCCAGAGGACTCTGTGGGACTTGCGCACGAGGCCTGCGGAAACCACGCTGCTGGGTTCAGACAGCACAACAAGCTGTGATGGATCAGAGAAACCATCAAACCAGTTTGCGTTTCTTATCTTGGTGTCTAAAGACCAAACTTGCCATTGTGAAATATCACGACTGAGTTCAGACAAGGAGGAAGACCAACCGTGGTAAAAAAAACCCCCACCACGACTTGTCCAAATCCAGCCAATATGAAGAACAAGCATCTGCTGTTTTCCTGCCCGGGTCTTGTCCCTCGCAAAACTCTTCCTCACCCAGCCCCACATCGCTGCAGCTTCCTAACAGAGAAGCACCACCTCGCGTTCCCAAATCAGCCCAAAAGCATAGATTGCCCTTCAGTTTCTTTCCAGGCAGCATCTCCGCACATCTGGATTCCTACTAACAGGGGTTGTGCAAAACACCCCCAGTTTGCCATGGCTGCAGGACTGAAGAGTGCAAAAGGTGCCATTCAGATCCACAACACACATTTCAAGCAGAAGTTTAAGTGCGTTAGTTAAGACTATCTATCTATCTATATATATATAAAATGTATAAATATTAAATATATATTTAATTTATATCCATGTGTTAGGAACAGTTGCAAATGGCCCAACTTATCCTAAGCATTACAGTCTCCCTGTCTGTGTGCCCATTTATGTGATCCCTTCCACACACACTTCACACTGAATTTTCAGCTAGCAATGTGAATAAAGCTTTTGCTGAGTCGGCAAGTCCTGTTGTTTCATCAGCAAACAGAAGTGGTGAGTCCTCATGAGCAACTAGATTTTAGGCAGACTGCTTGGAAAACCAATGAAGGGGGGCAGAGCCCTCCTTCCCCCCAAAAGTGGCACACCTGAAAGTCCCTGGTGTCCAAGAGCCCATTGGCGGCACACCTGTTGCTCGGTCCCGGAAGTGGGAGTCGGGGAGTGTGTGTGTCGAATGCTGATTTGGCCTTGAGGCTTTCTAATCG